AGTGTCTTGCTTGAGACAAAATTACACAAGTCATTATCCCAACTCGGAGTTCAGCGCACTATAGACTAGCGGACTATCTATGTCATTCCCTCTTCTCCCCTCCCCGTCACTCTAACTGTGATCTCAGCAGTGGACAGCACCTAAACAAAGCGAACTGACGGCATACGGCTAAAAATGTTACATTTCATCTAATTTCTCCTTAAACTGTGCAGGCACAAAAATGCAGCAGTTCTTCTCGTGCTTGGGGACAATCAGTTATTATTCATATACACAGCGAGCTAGACACACGGCTGACAGCCACATGCACGAAACCCGGAAGAAAGAGGCATCAAGCAGACATGCACGTACAGCTAGCCATAGGCTGAACTGCAAAATACCGCTTACAAACCCTAGAATTAAACGACTTATTAAGATAGGTAAATGCTGGCGAACAATCATAAAAGATGGTTGTGACGATAAATCAAAAAGTCGATCCGTGAGGTTAACCCTTTGAATATCAAACTTTCGCCAAAAAATACCGTTTTTAACCGTTTAGTCAGGGTTTTTGGCTGCCATGACGCTAAATAAGCCTACGTTTTGCTAAGAAAGCTTTTTTAAGCAAAAGGGGAGATTTTTCGAGGATTAGGTACAAAATTGAGCAAAATTTCAATTCCGGGCATGCGCATAAGCCAAAATTAGGACTTCCTTTTAATTTGCCATTAACAGTTCTCAATTTTGTTTGTTGCCCCTTTCCTTTCTGTTTTTCTCGGCCCTTTTACACTGGCTACCTTTTGCGTAGTGGACTATTTTACCACCGTTTTTGCACCAAAACTGATAACGTTGTTTTTCGGTTTGCGACGTCGGAATGTCGTCAATATCTAAACCTGACCATTGTACGGAAAGGCCTCGCCTAGCACTACTATCTGCTCGTGAAGAATATCTGATGACATTTGAATTGATGACGTCACAAGTGGTACAAAGAGCACGACCATTAATTACGTATATATGCGTAGTTGGTATTCA